GATTGCTCATGAAATGCATTCACATATTTTATTTATTCTATGTTACGGATGTCTGATACTTTGTTCAATAATTTTGGCCAAACATGTGTATGTTTGATTTGCACGAACTCTTATATACCAAAACGAAGGTAGTATTAAGATCTAGTTGAAGTGTTGGAAGAGCGCACACACAAAAGAGAAAAAAAGAAAGAAAGCCGCCTCGTCTAATGGCACACAACACACAAACCAACAGGAACATCGTCCACCATCCTTGACACAACACGAATTACGTGAAACGTTCTCTCAAAACAACGCTCCGGGAAGAAAACGACGTGTCGACATCGTTGCCGTCGTCGTCGTCGAATCCAACCGGAGGTCGGATTTCGAGTTTTTATCCCGGAAAAGCACGTCTGCGCAATGCCTTCGGCAAGAAGGAAAAAAACTGCTCTAAGCATCGATGTTGAGAATGAAGAAAACTTGACAAGTCCCGCGTCTACATGAAAGAAAGGGCCGATTTACATACAAAAGTTAAAACGAATAGCGAGTTGATGTACCAGGTCGACGTCAACTACGCAAAGCCTCCGTCTTTTTCCCCTGCGGCGGCGTACGCAAATAGTGCAGGACCCACGACGTGCCGAGAGAGAGCCGATCTGATACATGACTACGTGAGATGGATGCCCGTTCTCCTTTCCGGCAGCACCCAGAGTACCCTGTCGGCATGGCACGATACGGCAGGCTAGCGGCCCCGTTTCCCCTCGCGCGTCGCCGTTGCATGCGCCGGAGGCGGGCGACGCCGATAGCGACGGCACGGGGGCTCGATGGGGACGGACGGACGGAGAGACTGAGGTCTCGCGAGGACGAGGCCGAGGCCGTGGCTTAGCTTAGCTAGCGCAGCGGGCGAGCTGTTGGCTTCCATGTCCACACGCTGCTTTGTCTGTGGTACTGTACGTGGGTTGGGCACTTGGGTTTGACTGCGTCGCGCTTCTGGAGATCTCGCCGTGGCCCTGCGGGCGAGCGGCGCAGGCGCCGTCCCGACCCGTCGGCCGCTCTGTCGGGTAACGATGCGTAGGTGGTGCGTGCACTTTGCTTTTTCCTTGTAGGGAAAAGGGTAGCTATGCATGAACTCGTAAATGATAGTACTCCTACATAGTACTATTGATCACCATATGATGATTTCGGTCCAAAAAATACAAGATTGACCAGGTTAGACCTAACCACATTGTTAGCTTTCCCTGGCCCCTTTGCCTATACCTGGCTTATATTTAATCTCTCATTTTGAGGTATATTATTACCCCCGCGTTCTCCTTTTACTTTGCATATTAGTTTGGTCTTGAAGTGAGTTTGATCAAGTTTATAGAAAAAAAGGTAACGATCAATATCATTAGATCCAACCTATCATTTTTTCGCTGTGGATGTTACATCCTTCCTCCGTTCCTTTATACAACGTGTATTTTTTAAGTCAAACATGTACATGTTTGACCGAGTTTTTAGGAAAATATATCAATATCCACAATACGAAATTTATAGCATTTGATCCATCATGAAAAGTAGTTTCATGTTTTATCTATTAGGTATTGCAGATGTTATTATTTTATTCTATAATCCTGGTCAACAGTTAAATGGTTGACTTGCACGGAGTATTTATAATATGTTTTTTGTGTGGGGCTTTTTTTTAATATGGTTGATGCTGACACATTTAACACAACATTGTTAAACTTTGCAAAGTGCAGCTTAAGAAAAAAATGACATTCGAAGTAGAAAAAAACTAATGGACCGCTACCGTTTCTCTGACATAATTTCCCACGTGGTGTTGATGAATTGGGTCCACATTTAATTTGTGTGTGCAATATTAAGTAAAGTTCGTTTTGTGCACACACATAGTTCAAAGTGTGTGACCCGTGAAAAAATAAATCAAAGTGTGTTCTGTGGTCTTTATTTTAAAAGAGAAAGCGATTTATGTATAAACTTTAAAACAATCTTGTGGATGTGCTCTTGGCCCAGTGGTGGTAGCGTGGGGACCTATTTCGACTAGGGTTGGTTTGATCTCTTTGGGCGACATTGGGAGCTCCTAGTAAGCGCCTGTTGCGCTGGTTAGCAGACGCAACACTCGCATGCCGCCTTACATGGGTTGGCCCAACTACATGAGCGATCAGCTGTCTCTCGTCAAGCGCATACGCCCGAGCGCTTCTTCGTGGTTCGACTAAAAAAACTTCTTCATAGTTGACCTGGGCGACAAGTTGATAATCGACATGTTTGACCTTTGACGTATAGAAAAAATGGTTCAACTTTTTGGAAAAGTTCGTGGATCTGAAAAATGTTCGCAGATTTGCAAAATGTTCACAAATTGAAAACAAATTATGAATTGATAAAATATTCATGAATTCAAAAAAAGTTCAGGGATTTTGGGTAAAAAAGTTCAAGGATTTATTTTTTATCAACTTTGGAAAAGGCCATGGATTTTTAAAAAAGTTCAACAATTTTGACAAAAAATCATCGATTGTCAAAAAAGATCATCGATTTTGGAAAAGGCCATCGATTTTGAAAATAAATTTCATCGAAAAAAAATTCACAAATTTGAAAAAAAGTCCATTGATTTTTAAAAAAAAATGCGAAATTGGAAAAATTCTCGCATTTAGCAAAGGTAAAATAAAAATTGAAAATGAAAACCAATCAAAACCGTTCGAAGAAACGAGAAAATGAAACAAGAAAAAAGAAAAAGGCAGAAAAGAATGAAAGAGAGGTAATTCATCACATAAAGTGAGGGTGAGGAAGTCGCTGGTTCAAATCCCATCGTTTTTTTGTGTGGATAAAAATCAGAAATAAAAGGTAGACGGGCCAGCCCAGCTCGCAGGAGGGGGTGTGCGCCCGTTTGCAAAATAACCTATAACAGGCGCCTCAAGCGTTAAATAGGAAATGCCAACGACATTTAACCATATCAATTAATTTCATTGGACCACATGTCTGTCTCACACCTTCTTTATTCTTAGTTAAGTAAGCCGCACGGGCTGCTCCATCTATTGGTCTAATTCCTCCATTTTGAAAAATTCATCGTAACAAAGTCGTGGGCAAGGCTCTGACTCAACAATTTGCCTATTCTATCATTCCAGTAATAAAAAATTTCCATTATCGTTATTTGTTTTCACTAGCATACATAAAAAAAGTTCACCGCTACAAAATTAAGCATATCCCACTTCTCACTCAATTTTTAATTATGCTTTTCACTTTTTTATGGATCTTACTTCTCAATTGGGGGTTTTAGGGAATTTTAACTTGGTTTTTTGAATGAAAGAAAATCTTCACCTTGTTACTTTAAAAAAAATAGTTGTAATTTTAGTTATGCTCACATTCATTACAAGTGCCTTGTTCTAGATCTAATGTCCACGAAAATACAAAATAAATCCTACAACTAAGAATTACATTAATATATCTTAGATGCATCTTCTTCATGGTACCAATCTTTGCAAGATGAGGTACTCTCAATAATTTAATATAGATAATTCAATTAGACCGTTGTAATGACACTGCGAGTCCTTAACCCGCACGAACTTGATTACAAAGAAAGTTTTTTTAAAAGTCCATTGAGTTGTCCATCCAAATAGATGGGACAATGTGAGTGATGAGCATACTTGAGCCTAGAATGAGCCCCCTAGAAATTTAGGTCGTCAAACTACAAGATTGTCACCATAGTGTCGAATAAAAATTCCAACTCCACAAAGAATCAAACCAACAAAATCATTATACCACACTAACATGAGGACACAAACTTCTTTGGTTCCATGACACCACCAAGGTTTAGGTAATTTATTTGCAAAAGTACCACAACCACCACTAAATACCAACGAGGAACTCAAAGCTCTTGAGGATCTGAGCCCTCCCTCTTAGCATTAAGATGACAGCCGAAGATAAGGGCACCAAAGTATCTTTGGCACTGGCTGCTCCTCAAACCCTAACTCTCATATACTTCTATTTTTTCCATGCAGGCTTGTGTTTTTTGAGTGAAAATTTTCCATGTCGATAATAACTGAGCTGTGGCAAATAAGGTAGTGGCTGCTCCTCAAACCCTAACTATCGTACACTTCTTTTATTTTTTGGCACAAGTTTATTTTGATAACAAAATTACACAGGTAAGCACTGAGCCTCGAGTCCTCCTGTTTGATGCCTTGCACCAGTTAGCGTGTTGGCACTCGCACGCTCTAACACATGGGCTAGCCCAAAACAAGCGAGTGCTCCCTCCTTCCTTCGGTTGGTTGACTGGTCGACTTGGTCGACCGTTGACCATTGACAGTTGAGAAAATATGAATACGAAGAAGTATACATGTAAAAAAATCCTGAGTTTGATTTTCTTAAATGAACAAAGTTCTTGAAATTAACAAAGGTTCACATTTTTTTAAATCACGAATTCAAAAAAATCTTGAATTCAAGAAAAGTTTGTGAATTTGAAAAACATATGCAAATATAGGAAAGAAACTGAAAAATAAAATAGAAAAATAAAGAAAAAACAAACAAAAAACGTCCAAAGAAACCCAATGAAAACCGTTCCTAGAAAAACCAGGGGAACCTTCCAGGAGATCCCAAAACTGGTGAAAAAATGCCATATGGGCCGGCCCACTATGCAAGCGAATCGGGAGTGGCATGGGCGCTGTGTACCGTTAAGGCCTAAACCAGCGCTATAGGCCGCTGAATAGAAATTGGGCTAAGCCGTGGAAAAGCGGGTCTTAAAATCCCATCCACAAATTCTTGGGGTCGGGGCCCAGTGCATCTCGTAGGCCATTTTCTGCAACCGGAACTGACGGCCCAAGAAAATCCTTACGCCTCCACAATTCCAAGCCTTCTCCTACTCTCTGTCCTCTGCCCACCAGACCACAACAGTTCGTCGCGGCGGAGACGAGACGACCAGCCGGCAGGCGACGACGAGGGGCAGCGTCAGCTCAGATCCGACGAGATGGTAAGCCCATAAACCCTACCCCTTCTGGTGATCTAGGCTCCCTAGGGTTTCGCGAGGTACTTAAGCGCCGGCGGTGATGTTCTCGCAGGCGGCCAAGGCGATCTCCAGCCCCGTGCCGGTGGAATGGTACCCGACGCTGGCCGTCGTCATGGTCTCCGTCGGCCTCATGCTCACCGCATCCTTCTTCATGTAAGTCATCCGCTCGATTCCGATCTCCCCAGCTCCTCACGCGATTCGTGCAGATCGATGGCCTGATCCGATCTGATGCGCCTAGTGGCTGCGTGTGTTTGGGACCTAGCGGAATTGGTCCATCCGCGGGTTGGGATAAGGGATCTGATGTGGTACTTTGTTGCGCTGTCAAATAATTAGCTCGAACAGTAGGTGGTAACATCCTCTTAGGGAGAAACCCAGGCACGATGAGTTTAGGCTGTGTCGTCTTTGGCTTATTTTCACTGCTCAGTAGCGTTTTGGGTCCTGCATGACAGAGGTGACGAATGGGCTTACCCTTGGTGGCTTCAGGTTGGATAGATGGGCCTAGGTTTGTTTGAAGTTCCGTGTGGACTAAGTTCAGTAACCCTTGCACCTATTTTTCTGCTTGTCAGGAAAAGGATTTGCTCGCATTGAACATTTGGTTTGGAGTTCCTGGATAGGTCAGATTATTATAATTGGGCTGCTAGAACAGAATAATTACGTATCACATGACCTGCTAGAACAGAACAATTACTTATCACATCACCTGCTTGAAAAGAACAATTGGGCTCACATTGAACACTTGTTTGGATTTCCTCGCATTGACCACTTTTACTTTCGATTTGTTTTTTCCCGTGGAATGCAATGATTCTTGTTCTTGTTGCTGCCTATTGATACAATTCGTGTTAGTATTACTTTATTATATTATCAGTCATACACTACCTAAATTAAAAGGCGATAATAGGACACTGTTGTGAATAAGAGCAATTAAATTCAATGAGCTTGTAGTGCATACCCAAACATGTGAAAGGTAGCAAAAACTTCTGATTGCATTTTCTCTTTAAAAATAAAAATAAAACACATCGAAGTTCACTTTTTATCAGTGTGTCTAACTCCAGAACAAAGATAAAACTTGGTTAGACCTTTTTATCAGTATGTTCAATTATGCAACTTAGAGTAATATGACCTAGCTGGCTAGTCGTCGTCCCTGCCAATTTGATGGTAACAGTTCAAGTTATGGTTATTTCCAGAAACTGCGATAAAAAAATCATTGGCCCTAAGGCTCTTAACCAACCAGTATGTATTGCACATTATTGCTATGCTTACCAAAACATAAGAAGCAGGGTCACCTATTACAGTTTTACAGGATTTGCATAGGATTGTGATCCTATGGAATCTTTCCCATAGGTGTTGTTTGATTTGTAGGAATGCAATCCTTAGGATCATTCTTTTGGAACTTTCCCCAGCTTTTGGAGAAATTCCTATGCTTCCATCAAACACACACCTCTGCCAATTCCTTTGTTTTGCAATTCCATGTGATTCAAATGGGCAGGGCATGTCAATCCTCCATTTTTCCTATCCTATGAATCAATGGAGCCCTTGGAATTCAGGGAAAAAATAGAAATAGGAAAAACATAAGAATTGGATGTCATGACCTGCTAAACCCTACTGGAATTAGCACAAAGGAAAAGAGAACTTTACTATGACGAATGGAACTGGTGTTTAAGAACTCATTCCCTATGAATTTTGATGGCCTCATTCTGTTAATATAAAGAACCTCACAGGTAATACCATATTAGGAAATATACCTAGAACTGAAATCCGAAAATCCTTCAGTCCAAAACTTAACTCAGTTCATGATGGGAATTTCAGCATGGTGATTAAATATCTATTTTGTTTGTGGTGCTGGTAGGCATAGTCTGGTTTTACTCGGGATATAGCTAATTAGGAAGTATACAAATGAAATCTGGAGGTAATGTCAAACTGATTACTTAACAGAGGTGTTAGCTCAAGCCTTAAATTATCAAAGTTGACCAAGTACTTCAGCACTTGCAATTCAAGCACACAAAAATCTAACCAGCAAATTTGTCCATTTCAGTTATGAAGCCACGACTTCAAGGCGGAACCGTAGTTTAGCAAAGGAGATTGTCACAGCGTCCATTGCTTCCGTCTTCCTGGTAAGCCCCTTGAAAGACTGTCGGTTGTTTCACAATTTTGATTAGGGTGGTTGATGCACATCTAAGTTATCTTTTCGATTGTTTCACAGGGCTTTGGATCTCTCTTCGTGCTCCTTGCAAGCGGTGTTTATGTCTGACAACCGGCCTCTCCATGTGTAGTTCTAGCTAGGATGCGTCACATGCCTGAAATTGTGCTGCTTCCTGGAGAATATGGAGTCCCACATGGACATGACTTTTATAATAGACGAGTGACATCAAAATTTAACCAATGTTGTTGAACCTTTTCTGGAATCTCAATCTTATTATCTGTCCACAACTTCATTTCCATTATTAGTTATGGGACATAAGCCGCAGCAATCCTTCAAATTTTTGTTTCATAATACGCAGTATGACCACATTTCTTTTCAATGGTTAGGATTTAGGAAGAAGGTATGCACTGAATATAGTACTTCAATTACCGTTTCCACAACATAACCTGGAGAAACCAGGATGAATTTGGGGCAAAATATGGAGACTGTGCAAGCATCAATATCTCTACCTCTATCTCTACTTCTCTATCTTTACTACTTAAAAAGAATGTAAGGTTCCCATTTCACCTTTATTCGCACCACTCCTTCGTCCAACCTTCCTTATATGATAATAAATCAACTTAATTACTTACCTTTTGAACCAGTTTCACTTTAATTTACTTACCAAACTTCGGATCAAAATCTAAGGTAATTTATGGGCAGAATTTGATGGTCATTTATTTACACAATCGCGTTATTATAGATAGGTAAATCACAAGCCGACGTACTAGAAGATTTATACCCCGTTGCAACGCACGGGCATTGTTCTAGTATATTTATAAGAAGGGAAGTACTGGTACAAAATGACAGGTATTTAGGAATAATGTAGGAAAGGAGATATAATCTTTTTTTCTTCAAGATGGCTTGTTTAATGGCAGCGACTTGTAGACGTCTAAGCACACAAGTATGTGTGGATGTAATATGACCGCATGCTGAGAGTCAAGATAAAGTGCCTCTTTGGATTGGAGTTTTGAAGGATTTCAATCCATATGAATTTCTCCTGTGAAAGCTCCATTCCTATGCCTCCTATGCCATACGAATCTCAACATGAGCTCAAACCTCCTTTCATTACGAAACTACTGTGTGGACGACAGTAGCCGCACGATGGAGTATTCAACCGTGCTGTTCACTTTTGCTCAATGCATAGATGGCTTGATGTGCTTCCTCGTGCGGAAGTCGCCCATAATCTGTCATGTGTGTAGTAGCACTGTTTTATTTTTCCTTTGAGAAGTCCAATGCACTCCACTCTTACCTCTCTCTTCTCGCTTATTCCTACAAAATTCCTGTGTTTGTTTCCTGTGCAACATCCATGGGCGTACCAACTCCTGTGTTTGTTTCCTCCCCCCTTGGTTGGAGTTCGTACCATCTCCAAAGCCTAGAGATCCTCTTCCAGGGGCGGCTTGATTTGTGCCAAATAAGGGCCTCTTTGATTCACAGGATTTTGAAAAAGTAGGAATAGAAAAAGTATAGGATTGCAGTGGCATGTCAACTTGAATCGTATAGGATTAGCAAAGAGTGTTTTATGCCATATGAAAAACAAAGGAATTGTAAAAAGAGGTTGGAGTGGATGTTAGATTTTCTATGAAATGTAGTACAAAAGATTCCATAGGATAAATTCCTATGGGATCCAATCCTATGAATCAAAGGGCCGACATAGGAAAAATTCCTAAGGATTTCAATCCTCCAAAAATCCTAAATAATTCCTTTGAATCAAAGGAGCCCTAAATTTCCCACCCAGATCTCACCTCCAACGGGCGGAATAAATTTTTGACTAGAGATCTCACCCACTAGGGATCGTGAAGCTGGTCACGGTCTTCTTCTCTGCATAGAATCAAAAATCCTACACTTACGGGTGAAAACTCACGGGAGGGGACGTACGGGATTAGGTGTTCGCCCACCAAATCTCCCTCCTCTCTCTGTTTTCAACCGTGGGCCTCCTGATTTCCAATCAGCAGATGCCATGTCAGTCTGTAGGTACTAATCCGTGACATTGAGTCCGTAAGTGTAGCATCTCTGGCATAGAATACGCATCAGAGCTATAAATATACATGGATGATTGATGTGCCTGGCGTACTGGTAAAAAAGTTGTGCTCGGGTTGATAGACGGTGGCTATAGCCTCTGCATGACTCGAATTCCCGGCGTTTCCCTCCTGAACCTCTAGAATAGGGAGCTCCAGCTTCTGTAGCGTGTAGTTCCGGCCTTCCGGGCGTCATGTCAAAGGTGCTGTTCGTTGGCGATGATGATTCCGTCGAAAGGTCGGCATCGAAACATGGCTCGATTGCATCTCTTATTATCTGAAATGAAATCGTCGGCCAAAAAGAAGGGATTACGGCAAGATGTCATGTACTGCCTTCTTCTGGGAATCTGGGTCTCTTGCCTTAAAAGAAACGAGCAAACCACTCCCAATGATCCCCTCTCCCTGCTTGCTTCAACGATGGCTCAATGGGGTTATGAGCAGTTAATAGCGCCACTAAAACTCAGCAAAAGTCCATCAGAGACTAGGCTTGACCACCCTAGGGAAAAATCTTGGCTCTGCCTCTTCTCTATGTGATTGGTCCCATATGCAGGCTTGCGGCTAATCCTCACCTTCCACGATTAACATTGCAAGTAAACCGCAACAGTTCTGTAGGTTCCACAATATGCTGCCCTAGTGTAGCACAGTGATAGCAAAAATAATAATCTAAACGAGTATTGTTTGACCTAGTGTAGCGCGCTCATCATTGTTTATATATGGGGGCTATTAGTTTACGCCCACGCCCACGGGCATCACGTGATCGTCCATCGAATAGGTTCCCTACCTGTTCTCTGCTCTGATCTCCAGGGACTGG